AGAACAGCGAAGGGCTGTCTGTGGTGCAGAAAGACTTTGCCATACTTAGCAAGCAGGGCACTACCAGAGTAAGCATGCAGAGAACAATGAACACAGCACTCAGCAGCAGAATGCTCCCATGGAAAGAACTAGAGAGACAAAATAAAACTTCCAAATGGCCAGAAGAGCCTGATAAAAACCCCTATATTTAGCTCATATTTATTACTGTGAGTCATCAAGGACATCCATGAAACATCAGCAGGTCTTCACAGTTGCTAGCAAAGCATTTTGAGTGATCCTTCAGAGCCCAAGGAAATCTCTGGGACAGTTTGTTTTCCAGCTGTCCTTCAGTTCCAGCAGGGCAGCCCATGGTAGACTTCACAAACACTGGCATGAATTCTCCCAACTTCAGCAGGCCCAAAACCCTGGAAAAGTCAGCGCCAGAGTGACAGGAACTGCCAAGGCCCTCCAGCTCAGAGGCCAGCACAGAGCTGCTGAAGTGAAAAGTGATGTGCACAAATCACTGTGCAACCATCTGAGTGTGATCTGTGCTCTGGTTTGGCAGGCAAGCCCAGGGCTTTGGACACAGTGAGCTGCTAAACATAATTGTTATTATTATTATACCCATGTATCCATTATTACACCCACTATAATATCTGTTACACGGGTGATGAAGGAAAACTGAGATACCAGCTAGGACAGAGAGAGGAAGGAAAGATGGAATTATGCCCCAAAATGACCTTTGTAAAATACAAATATTTTTAAAATAAAAATAGTGTTTTGCCTCCAACTTTTGAAAATGAGAGTGTAGCTTGAGAACAGGTTTTACAGCAAAATCCACCCATGCTAAATGAGGAAGGGGTTTCCTTCCCACTGTTTTCAATGGAATGGTTACAGGATCAGAGGCTGCTCTCAAAGCCTGCCAGGATTCCATCCAGAACATGGAAGCATTGGGTTGACCTCCTTGCTAACCTGCTCTTTCCTTTTCCCTTTTAATTTTTTTTTATTGATGTAAGGTCCCATCTGGATGAACTTTTGGGAAGGACATCTTGAAAAGGCACTTTCAAAAAGGAGCAAAAACGGGGATATGCAGCAGATGAATATTTTGTCACGTTGGAAGAGACAACACAGGAAACAAAGGCAGCATCACACAAGTGTGCCCTGGTAGTTCCTAGATCATGATCATCAACAGCTTTGTTCCAGCCACAAAAGGTGTGTTTTGGAGATGGCTATTTCAAGGCAGGCACCAATCATTTTTAATTGCACCAGGCTTATTTACTGACTTTGTACTTCATTTTTTCCCTTGGACAAGTACACCACTAGAAACAAGAAGAATTAAAAAGTGCTGCTTTCCTGCTGCAGTGGGTAATGCTGCATGTATTCCTAATGCCTCCTTTCAGTCCTTCTGACAAGACACATTGATGTAAGAGTAATCCAAACACACCCCGTGTCCCTTAACCACTCTGACACCGTCCTCAGTTACAGCTCAATATGTTGTGAGCCAAAAATGATGAATGCCAGAGCTATGAATGCTGAACAGGATATCTAATACTAGGAGTGAAAAGCAAAAGGCATCTGAATATGAATTGGTATTCTCAAATTAAACAGCTCTGATTTTGATAGCTAGTAAACATATTTATAATCATTCAGATGCTAAAATATGTGCTTCTAGTCCTTGGATGAATAAACACAAAAGCTGTGCCTGTTGATAAGTACTTACCCGTTCATTTCTTTAGTTGGAATACAAATCATACTTTTAACTATTTTTCTTTTTTTTCCTTTTAATTAAAGAGGCCTTAGACTCCTTCAGCAAGTCTCTATCATCGTAACACCACCACTGACTGTCAATGGTGCATGAAACCATTATATACAATTCCACTGGAGTTTTTCTCACAGAAGCATTTGACACAGAGATAAACCCTCTTCAGTGCATTTGCCACTTGGGTTGATCAATGGCCTGGTTAATTTCTTTATATATTTTTAAATGCGGATTTATTCCCAATTCAGCATTTTGTATATGTACTGTATTTTAATTACAGCCATAAATAATACCAGTTGGTGTGGTTAAAAGCATGGGGAGGGGAGGGAATAAAAATAACCAAAAAATAGAAAAACCAAAGAAAGAGGTAGTTAATCACAATTTTTAAGGGACATGTTTCAAATGGATAAATGGCAGAGCAGAAAAAAAGAAGAGACTAAGCAGCAATTTAAACCTACAAGCACTTGGGAAAAAAGATCACTTGGCAGGAACCCACCTTCCTTGGAGTCTGCACAGGCTGAATTTTACCTCCTGTGAGGTTTGGAACTGGCAGAGCTGACAAGGGAGGCAAAACACAGCAATCTAAGTATGCATTTGAACACGACAATTTATCTAAAGAATAAATTTGCAACTGCTCTTACAGCTGGTTCCAAGAGCAACACGAAGGTGAGCAGGGGAGGGAAGATGTCCCTGCATGGCCACCAGCTGCCCGGCAGCACCGACACTGCTGGCAGTGCCATCCCAGGCACGGGGCAGAGCCAGGTGATAAGAGGAGCTGGTGAGCACCCGCTGACAAAGATCTGAGAGGCAGAAAAGTGCTCTCAGCCTCAAAGGTCACAGCCCCTTCACCCAAACAGACAAACTCCAGAGGAGCTAAAATCCAGTGGTGCTTTACAGAGCAGCTGAAGGATTCTCCAAACACTGCTATGTTTCTTCACCACTCTCAAGAGAGCTGACATGATCTACCTTCCTCCTCAAGCAATTAAGGTACCTAAAACTGCCCCTAAATACCTGGCCCCATCTGAATTCCTCAGTCTTTGGAAGGTTTGTGCATGTTGCTTAGCATTATGTATTTAAGTGTGGTACTACCTGGAGGTTTCCAAGTCAGTCTCACAAATGCACACAGTATGCAAATCAATTGCTCAGGAATAAATAAAACCACTAAATTGCCTCTAAAATAATGAGATATGGAGAAATAAATATCAGTCCCTGAAAATATGGTTTAGTCCTTTCATTATTTTTTTTCCTTTGCCATATGGTTTAGGAACCTTTCATTTTTACTCCTATTACATGTTCCCCATGAACGCCATGTCCAGAAATTATCTTCAAGAAATGTAAAAAAAAAATAAAAATTCAAGCACAAAGATACTCTTAGATAGTTTTCTTTGAGAAAGTGAGAGTCATGACTAACTAAGAGATACTTGGAATAGGAACACTGATAGCTGAATAGTGTCACTAAAATTCAGGTTTTGCTACTTTTTGCCCCACACACACCACTCATGCACGTGTCTGCAGTTGAAAAGTATGTGAACACAGCTCAAAGGAGGAGAGCACTTCACAGATTTAAACTGAATATTTCAGTCCATGCACACCAAGAGCAGACCCCTCTGCCAGGAAAACTCACACCAGCCTCAGGTCTGGCCCCAAAGGGGCTCCTTCCTTTAAATAAGAGGCTCAGCAGAATCAGAGCTGATGTAGAGACAAGGATGCCTTGCAGACTGGCTCTTTTTTTCTTCAAATTGCATGATTAATATGAACATGAATGCAAAACTTCACAATCTGAATTAAAATTCAAGAGGAAGAGGGAAAATGTGACACCCTGCATTTTAAAGCATAATGTTATGCACAGACCGGACCGCTTTTACCAACCAAGCAAGACATGACATGAAGTTTAATAAATATTCAATAAAAAAGGAAGAAATATGAATTTGATGAAGTTTGCAGGCAATTAGAGCAATTTATTTCACTATTAACATGACAGACTAAATGGAAATCAGCTCTGGGTGAAAATGCAGTTTTAGTGCCCAGCATTCAGATTGCTGTGTAATTAAATAATGAAACGGGTGAGGGGCATCCATGACCAGCAAGGCAACCATCCATCAGAGCCCAGCCTGCTGCCAGCCCAGGGCACAGACAGAGTGTCAGGGGATGTGTGTGTGTGTGCCTGCCTGGCTCTAGCACTGCAGGGAGGAATTCCTTCCACTCCGCAAAAAAGCATTTCCCACATGGCCAGCTCTCACCCCTGCACTGAAAATGCCAGCTGCACTTATGGCCTACCATGTTTAGCTCAGTTTGTTTTCTTCATTAAGAAAAAGTATTAATCATGCATTAGGAAAGTCAATATTTTATCCCATTTCAAGCTGAAACTAAAAAGCCATGACATTCCTTTTCCCCATGAACACTCATTAAGAAATTAGGATTCTCGTATTTCAGATCCTCTAGAAACAAACAAACAAACAGAAAAGTCTGTGCTTAATTCACCACATGCAGCTCTTCAACCTGCCAGGAGATCTGAGGAGGAGAGGTGCATGCTGATACCTCAGAACATGAAGATTGTTCTAAATTTGAGCATATGTACTCCAGGATTTCAAGAAGAAATTCACTATTTCTGTATGTTAACCAATGCCTAAATATTTCCTTACCCCTTTGACAGCAGGTGCTGCTTTCAACAGATCCACAAGTCCATCTCAGTTGTGAAATTGCTGTTCCTGACAGACTCTCCAGCAGTCAGTTGTGTTTGACAGATTGTAGATCTGTTGATAAAATGCTTCCTTTCTAAAACAGCCACTTTGTCTAGCAGCACACACAGCCATAGATGTGCAAAACATCTGCTCTAAATTATTCCTCCTTTTGAGTAACTTCCCCCAAAAAGCTGCCTTTTTGCAAGAGAACTTTAAAAAAAGCAATCAAAACAAAGCAAAACTTAAGACATCAAATATCTCTGTTTGCAAGCTTACATCATCTACAAGATCTAAAGCAGGCAAGTTTGGAACACCTGATTTATAACAAGCTTCAAAGGAATTTCCTTTCAGGACACTGCAAAGAAAATTTTCTTCTAGTGGCTCCAGTTGGGCACCAAAAATTGCAGATACTTTTGAAAAGTTATTACTAAATTACTTTTAATTTGCAGCATACAGCTTGACTAGTCCTACAACTTCAGAGCTGGTCCATCCACTAACAGCCATCACCACGGGAACAAGGAAACAGGCACCAGCAAAAGGGAAAACATTTTCTTAGTCCTTGAAAACCAAGTTTTGCCTACCTTCCCTCAGTTGCATTTCATCCACCAACTTAGGGAACCAACTGGGACTTTGCCATACAAAAATCAATGAAATTCCATCTAAAATTAAGAACATTTTTATGGATCAGAATTTCAGTTTGAATAAAGATACCCATCTTTGTTCCAATTTTAGGAAACAAGCTTCACAGATCAATTTCAGGCTCAGTTTGAAAAGGAAGAAAGAGGGCCCTAAAAGCTTTGATCTGGTAGAGCTTGAGACAAGTATTCCGTAGTGTCAATATTCCCATTTATCTCACCATATGACTACAGATTTTCTGGAAAGAAATCAAGAACAAGAAGGAAAAAAGAAAGCTATCCCAATGAAGTCTAGCCCAATAAGTTCAATTACACCTAGGCATGTAGCAAATTCACTTATATAACAAGTAGTCAAGCCAAGTCAGTGCAACAACTCAGCTTTTGAGCAGTCACAGTGGAGCAGCATCGGCTGACATGGCTGATTTAATATTATATCTGTATATATTTTTTATATATATATATATATATATGTATGTATGTATTTAACTTTTGTATCTGCATATCCAGTGGCAAAGAACATGCACATAAACCAAAAGGCACATGTGAACAGTACACTATTTTGTATGAGCACATCAGGCAACATCCTGCCCCTACTCAAATCAGTGCAAAGCTTGTCCCAGTCCTGAGCACAGCCACAATAATCACACCCTGGCATGTGCTGCAGAGACCAGCACAGTGCAAAAGCCTCCAGCATCTCCTGAAACTAGACAGGCTCCTTACAAGGACCGCTTCAACTAAACTCACTAAAGGAGCAAGGAAAGGATTTGATGCACAGAGTCACTTGGGAAGGATCCATAATACTGATTTTAAAGTTGTGCTGAATTAAGTGCAAGAACACGAGAGGACCATCCATCCTCTGCATCTGTAGCAGTGTCTTGAGCCTGACTTGCAGCTCCACTGCCTGCCAGTTGGTGTGTGGCTCCCCTGTCAGGGCATCAGGAGGCTGCCTCAGGAAGGAGAAGCCCATAGCCGTTAATGTTTCATGGGGAATACGCATTGCTGCAGCATCGTGAGGAGTTATCGATAAGAAGAAATCAAAAAGCAGGCACAGCATCTTGAATCATCAACATTTCCCCCTCCCCACACTCCCAAGTTGAAAAGGGAGAGTTGCTCATTAAGACAAAGGCCAGGGGGCACAGGCAGGTTCTCCCACCATGCGCACACATTCCACAGTGATGGACACAAATTCCACATTGAGGACACCACACACAGCCCAGCACAATGCCATGAGCCATCACTCATGGGAGGGTCACAAAATGCTCTGTCTGCAACAGAACAACAGGAACCTGCTCTCCAGGGTCTAAACAAATCCTTCCTCTGCTTACCAAATATTTAGAAGACTACAAGGGAGCAGCACAGCAAATCTACCCACACTGCACCTTCTCATACCAACTGTGTATGAGCATAACTCATCAGAAATCTCAGGAGACACCACCCACTGCTATTAACAGAATACATCAATAACAACACCATTCTAATGCTCTTGAAATTTGCATTTCTCTGTGTGCCAGCCTGCTAGGCAGCGTTAATCACATGGTTTTGCTGGGGCATCATGTTTATAGTAGCATCTGTTGAGCTGCTAACATGTGAGACCTGATATATTTGAATTCTTTTCTGACAACCGTAACACTGAAGAGCTGATGGTGCCTCACTGGAGCCTCCATGAATTTTCAGGGACACTGTGGCTTGTGCTCTGCATGCACTCCAAGTTTCCCAGAGCCACAGGAAAAACTATGTGGACACTAAGTTTCTTTATGTGGACATTAAGTTTCTTCTTTCCACATCTCCTTAATTTTTTTTCTCTAATTTGTTCCACATACAGTTTCTGGAATGGACTCACAATTTTCTTTCCCCAGGAGATGAACACATGTGGTTTTCTTACTGATGTCCAGCTTTGCCTGTTACAATCCCACCCCTCAGAGCTGCCCCAGCACTGGGGCCATCCATGGCCACTCAGGGCAGAAATGCCTCCAAAGTGCCAGATCCTCCAGGGCCCTCTGTGGGACAGCGACGTGTGGCTGCAGTGATGTTCCCCTTTGGGAGAAGGGGGCTCCAAGGTGACATTTTGTGCAGACCAGGGCCTTGCTGATCCCTCCAGAGCAGCCCTGTGCTGTCATTATATTGCAAGAGTTCTATTGTCATTACATTGCAAGGGTTCCATATTGCTAGAGTCTCATACCTCCTTGATGTTTCTCATAGGCATCTCCTCTAGGCACTGACTCTTCCTTATCCTCACAGCAGACAACTGAATTCAGTTCCCACCAATCCACTCTTTTATAACACACCTCTTATTGGCTACAGCTGTGGCCTGTTAACGTCAGGCCTGCTCCTAATCTTTAGTAATTGGTTCAGCTGCAACTCTTTAGGGGATAAGATTACATTCTATGCCACCTTCATTTACCCATAGTGTATCCCCCTACAGCCCTGAGGTGAGGGTGCAGCCAGCTGGAGAGTGGCCACCATTTCCTCTGAGGTCCCACTGCCCTGAGCAGCTCTTTCACAGGACAAACAGAATGAAAAGGACAAGCAAGACACCTGAAGGAGATCCAGACAACTCTATCATTGCTCCCAAAGGCAGTGGAGGCTCCTGGTTGTGTCCAGACAAGGATATATCCTCACTGAGGCAGCAGTGAGCACCTGCAGGGGCTGCCCAGGAATCCACCCCAAACATAAGCATCACCTGCAAGTCTGGCAGCACCAGAGGATTCAAACTTCTCTCTCAGCATTTGGAGCTGAAAACAATTCCTGAGGGGACCCCCAGGGCAGCTTCCCAGTCAGGGATCCACCTCATTGCCCCTCAGAAGGACCAGGAGCACCTTTACAATAAAATGGCCCAATTCAGGGTCCTGGGAGCTGGAGATCACCAGGTTCCATTGCCAACCCCGCTCAGGTTGTAGAGTTTATTATGAAGAATAAACTCCCTGGTCATATATATAGATAATAAAAAAGACCTCAAGGAAAAAGAGCTAGCATGTCTTCTACAAAGGGAAATCCTGCCTTGATAACCTGGAGTCGTACAAGGTAGTCAACTGGTGTGTGAATAAAAGGGATTTTCAAAATAATTGGATTTTCAAAAAGCCTTTGACAAAGCCCATGCAAAAGATTATTCAAGAAACTAAGCTGTCACGGGCCTGAAGAAAAGTATCTTTTATGGACTAAAAGCTGGTTAGGAAGCAAAAGGGTTGGGAATCAAGCAAAGCCAGCACCAGGGTCCCCCAGGGGTACATATTTCATTCAGTACCTTCATCACAGGCCTGGAGAAGGGAGAAAGGGTAAAATCTCAGAACCTGGAGGTGAAGCTAAACCAACGGGGGGGAACTCAAATGCTGCAGCAATGGTGAGGAACACCAGCAGAAAGTCAAAAAGCAAGGAGGAGGCAGCTGAGCCTCACTAGCAAAGCTCACATGTAGGGGTAATAACCTAAACCCTGCCTATGTGACGCTGAAGTCGTGGGAGTCACAGCTTCAGATCTTGGAGTCATCACTGACAGTTATCTGAAATCACTTCCTCATTGTGCAGTGGCCTCCAAAAGAAGAGTCACCACAGAGCTGTGAATCATCTGGAGGGACACTGTGGGAAGGACAGGTGCTGCTTTGCCGCTTCACAGGTCCCTGGCACGTCCCCATCCCATGGGCACTGCCAGGCTGGGCAAGGCTGCAGCTCTAACAAAGCCAAGGAACACCATAAGGGGATGGAGCTGCCACCTTGTAGCTGCCCAAGGGTCCAGACTACCCAGTTTGTGGGCACAAAGTGAGGAGTTTGCAGCTCCAAAACATAGGTGAAGTGGATAAGCTTAAAGAAGTGCACTTTGCCAAGTGCTGCAGAACAAGAAGTAGGGGCAACTGGTAAAATTAGGAGATTGATTTAAAAGAGACAAAATAAAATTTGCACAGGAGGGGGTGAACACCAGAGACTTGCTGTTGGCACACGGCTGGGGAGGCAGGCAGGCAGTGCCAGGGGACTCAAAAGGCACTCATGGACAATAGGTAGGCAGGGACCTCACATCCCCAAAACAACTGTGGGCAGAGGGAGATGCTGTAGGAGAAGCCAGGCTGCCTCCTCCCCCTAAGCACCAGTCCCTTTTGCCATGCACAAGAGGCAAGAAGGCAAAGAGGCAGAAAATTATTCTCACTCCGCAGGCTCAGTGAATTAACACATCATGCTACATTGAAGAACCTTGTACAGTCCTTCTAAAAGCTAAATAAAATACATATATATAGTTATATTGTTTTGTTAAAGTTACAGATTTATATATTTCCATTTCAAAGACTTCCCTGCTAAACAACTCTTTCTAAAGCCCTGGAACATTTTCCAGTGTTGATGTGTGGACAGTACACTAGTGTGCTTTAAAAGACTTTTTGGTCACTGGGTAGCAGGGGGTAAAGGAAAAACAATAAGATAAGAAAGAAGAACAACATCCAAATCATTAGATTGTTCCAAATGCTCAGCTGAAAGCTCCAGCCAGGTCTTCAGTGCCTTGAGTGCTTTCCCCATCCTTGGTGTGTCAGTATAAATTATCATCAACATTAATTCTTTTGTTTCTTCCCTTTCCTAACAGATGTAGTAATCGCACATTTGGACACTGGCAATATTTCTAATTGTGTAATGGGGGCAGAGATAGAATTAATTAATGATCCAAGTTAGATAGAAAATCTGAGTTAATTTCTTACAGGTTTTTGAGGGGTTACTTATGGCTGGAGGTGCTCTTGCAGACTTCCAGCTCTGTCACAGGACGCAGTCGTGCATGCCAATGAGAAAATGGGCATCTTTGGGAAAAGAATAGGCTGGATATTGATGCACCCACTGCCACAAAAACTACTTTATTTGTGGCAACAGGCCTCAGATAGTAGCTGGAGTCAATGCAAAGCAGTACTGCCAGAAATTCAATCTCCCTGCTGGGTGCACAAATTTCAGTGTTTTTCCCCTCCCACCACTACACCCTGCTTTTCCTTGTCTGCTCACCTATCTGAATACCTCCTGCATATCAAAATA